CTAGGGTGACCACCACCCATTCTTAGAAGGCACCGAGGGGAACCCCCTCACCATCAGCTCCACCAAAGACTTTCCCTGCTCTTGTGACTGGACAGTACATTCGTGTACCACATTTGGGGATAATTGGATGGTTTGAAGGGAGGAGGAGCTAAAAATAGGCTCCTGCCATGGAACCCGTTTGTGCTAATGACATGCAAATACAGTTGGTCTCCCTTTCCTTGGGCTCGGGAGCCAAGAAATGACTGGTCTGTATGCAGTGGACCAAAAAGAAGGGGGGGGGGAGCTGGGGGAGGGAAAGGGAAAGGGAAAGCGAGGCCCAAGAGCCCTGGCTGAGCCTTGCTCCCACCCCCACCCCAGGCATGAGTGACCCCGGCAAGGGACAGTGAATAAATCAACCTGGAGCGCTGGAGGGCACATGGGGGCACGGGGAGCGTGGCCTGCTTCCTGAGCTCTCAGGACAGGTGCTATCCCTTCACCACACCCTCCACTGCCAGCCCTGCCATTATCTGCTACAATGGCCCACACAGAGCAACACCCCAAGCGCCTGCAGCACTTGAGCCCCTTCTGGCTGGTAGGATTTAGCTCCTCTTTGGACAGCCCACAATAGTCCTCCACCTCCTTTGTGTCTGTGTTTGCAGCAAATATTGAAGCTCTCTCCTGAAACCCATTACACGCCGCCAGGACAAAGCACGCCGCCAGGACAAAGGCTTTCCGCGGGTCTCCGGGGCAGAGCTGGGGCCAGGATGTCCCTGTGGTCTCACCTGCCACCTCTTCTCCAGTTACCTCTGGAGGGATGTGGCCCGCACCCAGAGGAGCCCTCCATGTGCCAGCGCAAGGAGGGAGGATGCCATGGTGCCCACACCCGGGTCTCCACCAGAAGGGAAGTAGAGCGCTGGACCGCCGGGGTGGCAGGAGGGACATAGAAGGACCGAAGATGACTCCGGAGTGGCAGGTGTGCTGTGCTCCACTGCCGTCAAGGCTCACAAAGGCTGTCTGTGGGACCGTTCCTCTCTCCCACCCTCAGCGTGATTTTCTGAGGCCACTTTTATTCATCCTCCTGGTCTCAACCTAGGCTTACCCTCACCACTGCTTCCAGGAAGCCATCCCTGCCTCCCAGGTTTAGGAGTGAGGCCTCCTCGGGGATCACCTGAGCAGCAACTGCTGCTGCCTCCCTTCTTCCTTCTTCCCCAGCCGCTGAGCTTCCAAGGACAGTTCACGTCTGTGTCCACTCATCTGGCCCAGCTTCTCAGCATGGCAGGAGTTCATTCATTATGAGTGAGCGAGTGAATGAGTGAGGGAGTGAATGGATGGATGGATGGATGGACTCAGCAATGCAGGCTCTGCCTCACCCTCGGAATTCTGACCCCAGTGGTACTGGTCGCCAGGGCCACCTTAGAGGCACTTCCACTGGGGAAGAAAGCACTGGGCTGAGTCCACTGACCATGATGCCCCCGGTGAGTCTCACCCAGCCCCAGCCTCAGTTCCTCACCTGGAAACCGAGCACAACAGTGAAAAGTCAGCAGGGCAGATGCTCAGACCCAGCCACGGGCCTGTGTGAAGAAGAGGCAGGAAAGCCAGGAGGAGGGGGCCACAGAGCCCGGCTCAGGATGAGGGGTCACCTCAGGAGGAGAGAGAGGAGTTCTTCAGGCAGTCGCCCCGCCGCCACCCCATCCAGAGGAACTCGGTTAAGCAACCCAAGAGCCCCACACTGGCAGCCGTAATTGCTGCCCCTGCTTCGCTCTCGAAGCTCCTGCAGGGAAAGAGCTCGGGCACACAGGCTGGGGACTAAACGCCACCACTTATGGGCGAGTTCCTCATCTCTCTTCACCTCAGTTTCCTTCTCTGTGAGATAATAACTGTGCTACCTCATAGGGTGGCTGAGGAGAACCACATAAAATGCTTAGCACCCTCCCAGCCCACAAGCGCTCCATTAACACGGTCCACCCCGCCCTCGGTTCAGAGAACCACAGACATCATCCTCCCTGCCGTAGAAGGAGAACCCAGAGACGTTCTGGAACTTACCAGGGACTCGGAGAGTCCTGGGGTGCCGGGTCTACTCCCACTTCCTGGTGGTTTGGGGCTTGAATCATTCTCATTGCTTCACACATGCAGACCCAGGCCACACGGAGAGGCAGCCACAGACGCCTCTGCTGGGTTCCTCTCACCTCTCCCTCTGCTCACCTGTGCACCTCTTGGCGGTGCTGCTAGAGAAACGCGCCACAGTGGTGAGATGGCTGCCCGTGCCACCAGGTTCCCCCGAGGAGCCTGAACTGAACAGGGCAGTGAGCGGGCAGACGCCCACCAGGGGAGCAAGGCCCAGGTGCCACGCTGTAGGCCTAGCCTGCTGTGGGGCATGCCCGTTCTGAGGTCCCCCACAGGCCCACTGGTGCTCCAGGGACAGCCTGGGTCTCTCAGCCGACGCCCATGACAGGCCTCTCAGTCACGTGAGATGTAGCGTCGTGCTCGAAGCTGGCAGCCAGTGCCTTTCTGGATATGCCCCTGCGTGAGCCACGGAGGCTTCTGGCAGGAGAAGGGGTGGCCACGGGGATCCATATCTCAGGCCACCCACTCGTCCTGACACATCCTTCCTGCCTCACCCAGCTCCCCGTGGGGATCCACACCAGGCAAGGCCCACACCTGTGCCCACCACCCGGGTGTCTGCCCCTGGTCAGGACAAGGAGAAGGCTCTCCAGGCAGGTGACCTTCAGCATACGGGGAAGGAACAGGTGTCCCTTGGTCATGGCTCTCTCCCGTGCTGACCAAGAGCTAGCAGTAGACACTAAAACATACTCAGGGAATGCCTGAATAAACTCTCCTCAGAATAAGTAAATAAATAAGCAAATGCAAGGCTGAAAGTTCCCAGCCTTTCTGCGAGTCCTGTGTCAGCATGTCACAAGCTCCTGCCTTCAGCTGCCCCTTACTCTGTCAGATCATTTGGTCAAGAGCCTACTAAATAAGGCTCCCCAGCTCTGGGATGCTGATGAGGTGCCCCCTCCCCGCCTTTTCTGGAGTGAGTGACCCTAAAAGTATCTCTTTGCACCTTCTTGGCTCTGCGCTTGGCTCGGCTCCAAGTCCGCACTCAAGTTTCCGTGCTGGACCCAAATTGCGCCCCTGCTGCTCCCTGAGGGGAGAGAGCTCTTGTGGGAGCGGGGGTGGCGCAGGGCTGGCGGTGGGAGGTGAGAACAGTCTTTCAAGGGCACCCAGCCAGGGGACTCCTTCCTGCCTGTCTCTCCAAAACTGCTCATTCAACCGGTCTTATCTCACTGCCACCAACCCAGACTCCTTCCTGGCACCCTGGAGGCTGCCCCTCCCATGACAGTGAGGTCACCTCATGCGGGGCCCCGACCTTAAGGGCCCTGAGAACTCGGCAGGGGCACGGTAGACGCGGGTTCCCAGCTGCCCCCTCACTCCAAGTCCCAGGAGAGGTTGGATCAGCTCATCCCTACAGCCCTGGAGGAGGCCACAGTCTCGGGCGCCGCTCCTGGGCCACCAGGCAAGGTGGCAGAACCTGACCTTGCCGTCCATGTCAGGCAGGGAGGTGGGGGCCAACATGGCTTTGGCCACCACAGGTACAGAGCCCTCATCCCCAGCCCAGAGTCAGAGCAGCAGCAGCCAGGAGCCATGGGAGTCCTGAGGAACGGGACACATGACAGCCGGGCCTGGCCACAGCTCTGTGGCGACAGAGGTCAGGGAACCAAACAGGCAGAGACCAGCTGTCGCAGTGAAGAGTCCGATCGCCGGATGGAGTGGGGAGAAGGACAGGGCCACCGCCGATCTGTCCTGAGCAGCCCCTGCTGACCCGAGGCTGCCCACTGCCCCTCCAGTCCCTGCCTCTCTGACTCTGAGGAGTCGTTCCAGCCCCTGCACCTCACAGCAACAGCCAAGGGCCCTGAGCTCCAGGCTCCTCATCTCCCAGCCAAGTGGCCCTGCCCTCCTCCCTGACCCCCTCAAGCACCCCCTGTCCTGGAGTGCCCGTCCCAGGTCCCATCGGCACCCCCATCTCCACCCAGGGCAGCTCCAGGAAGCCTGGTGCTCAGGACTCAGGGGGACTCCGGCTCAGCTGCAAACAGGCCCTGCAATTCAGGGCAGGCTCCCGGCCTTTCCGAGCCTCAGTTGCCTCACCCATAAGGCAGGGCTGATAATCCCACCTCCCTTCGAGGACCAAACCAGATACGTGACACAGAGGCACCAACCGACTGTCAAACACCCACTTTGAGCATTCACTGTGTTCCCACCGTGGTCCAGCTTAGGCAAGGAGGCGTCTGGCCACCCCACTGGTAGGCGAGGGGGTGACTTCCAGATAAAGATGTCCCCAGAGATGTCCAGGGCACTTGGTCCTCGCTGGAAAGGGGGTGGGGCTTGATCAGTCAAGTGCAGGGAGGAAGGAAACTGAGTTCATGTGCCCTCACTCTAGTGGCATTCGGGGGCGTCCTTCCCCCAAGCTACACAGCTAGTGTAAGTGAGTGGCAGTTCTTAGGGCCAGCCAAAAGGGCCTCTGTTCTCGGAGAGTGGGTTAACTCTCCCTGTAGCCCCCGCCTGTACGTCAAAGTCCTATGCGGGCACCTGCTGTGACCCGCAACTTTCTCATTCACTTGCTTCTTCATCCAACAAATACCTACCGACTCCAGCCGCAAGCGAGCAGGCAGTAAGCTAGACACGGGAGATGCTGAAGTGAGGACCCTGGCCAGCAGAGACTGAAGGCTCCGAGCCAGGCTAGGGTGGGCCTCAGCTTCCCTCTTAGCGCCAGCCCACATTCCAGGGGCAAGACTGGGTCACTCACTGTGCCATTTCGGGGCTGGGGCTGTGCAGGGGGTGGGTGGGCCCCGAGGAGGGGTCCCTGGGGAGGCTGGGGGACAGCAGCACAAATGAGCTGAGTGCAGGAACCGGCCCAGGAAGGAGGAGCGAGGGCGGGCAGGCAGCAGGGCAGAGGGCAAGAGCAAAGGGTCCTGCCCAGAGCCAAGGGGGTTATCTCGGGAAAATTACACTATGGGAACATTTGCTTTGGCATTTCCACATTACTATTTTATTTGAATTTTCAGAGTGAGCAATAATTGCATTCAGAAGCAGGAAGAAAATGTAGGAAGGAAAGAGTTCTTCCTCTGAATGCTGCATCCTTACAAAGTGTGGTGTCTGGGAGCAAGAACTTGGAAGGGGGTCGTGAGGAGAAAAGGCGAGGCGCTGTCACAGTCCCCAGAGGAGCAGCGGGTCTGGCTCCGCCTCCAGGCACAGTGGCTGACTGGGAGCTCCCTTCTCGAGGCAGCAGGGCAGCTCAGGAGGGTCTGTCAGCTCAGGCTGATGCGTCCAGCTAGGGCTCCGGGAGGAAGCAGGCTTTGGGGTTCTGCCACCCTCTCCCTGCCCTGGCTAAGCTCCCGCCTTCTTTGGGAGAGCCCCACTAAGGAGGGTCTCGCAGGCAGCATTAGGGAGTCCCAGACTCTGGGCTCTGGGCACTGATTTGCCACCATCTCACACCCTGGCCTGGATCGGAACCAGACTGGTGGCGAACGACAGGCCGGAAGTTCTAGGAACAAGATCATTTGCAGAAGAGTCACATATATAATGTTACTGGCTTTTCAAGTGAGTTTTCCATAGACTCCAGTGATTTTTTTCTACAGAAAATCCTTTATTTGTCCTTGCTGGAGAAGGAGGAGGTAGCTACCAAGCTGTAGCTCAGATGTGTTTCTTCTGCCTCCAGCCGCTCGGCAGGCAGCGGCTGCAATCTGAGAAGCTACAGCAGTGTCTCCAATCCAGAATCACCTCTCCTTCGCCCTTCACTGCTGCTGAAGTTTTATTCTGGGGTTAGACACTGTTCACCACTTACTATAGCTGGGGTTTTTTTCTTTCTTTAGTTTTGCCCTACAAAGATGCCCTGGAACTGTTAGGAGGGTTACGTCCCCACACTTCCATGCGGATTCTTGGCACATGTTTTCCTTTGTGGAGGTCACAGTCTGAGATGGTATCACTGGTTCCACTGCTTTACACAAGCTTAGAAAGGAGATGGGGCTTGGGAAGGGCTGGGGTGCTGTCTGGTTATGTCACCGACACCCCTCCTCACCTTAGAGACTAGAGAATCAAGGCAAAGAAGGGGGAGGGGAAGAGGGAAGGCAGGAGCCTGGTGTTCAGAGGAAGAACTTAGCTGGGGCTGCACTAGGGTCCCGTAAGGAGCTGGTCCACAACTTGACCCACTTCCTAAGAATACTGGGAGGCTGGGAGGGGAGGTGGGGAAAGCAGCCAGGACTGGGGCAAGGCTGGGCCTCCCACGCCTCATCGCATGCTCGAGCCATCTCAGGAGCTTTTACAAAGCTCACGTGACTGTCCCACAAAGACACAGTGGCACTAAATATCCAGGGACAGGGCCTAAGATTCTGCATATTTGTTCTTCAGCTCCTCCAGGAGGTTCTCAAGTAGAGCCAGGCTGGAGGAACCCACGTGTGCTCAAGGTGAGGTTGGGGCTGGGGGAAAGGCCTGCAGGTGAGCAGCAGGTGTGGGAAGGGAGGCTGCTCTGTGCCGTTCCGGGTGGCCTCTTGCCCAGGGAGGAAGCCGGACCTCTCCACTCCGAGTTGTTTCAGAAGAAAGCTTCCACGGCTCAGCCAGCATCCCCAGAGCAGAGACCACGAGAAGGCTGGACCCCCTACAATCAAACTCTGGACAAAGGGCCAACCTGGCTCCCCTTTGGGGCCAGCAGAATGGGCCAAGAGTGATTTTCTAGGTTCCTCGCATCCCACACGCCTTTTCTCATTTGCTACCAGTGCCCCAAATGCTTGTGAAAGGCTATGTCCCCCAACCTAGGGCACACTGTGTCAGGCTGGGACCCTACACCAAGGGAAGCAGAACCCTACAAACTGGCTTTTCCTCCCGGACTTGGGGGACCCAGGAAGGGGAGGCCGCTGTTCTGTGACAGGTAAACTTGGCCAGGTGGACATGGGGACCCCATGGCATCACTCATGGGTAACCTACAATCCTTCAGTGACCTTCAGTGACCTTCATTGAAGCCGGTCCCCCTGCCCTCTCTGGCCTCCTCATGTTTGGTAATTTGGGTCTTCTGGTAGCTGTCTTTGGGTCACCCAATATGTATGTGTACAGTGCGCTTATTTACTTGGTTCTTAGCTGCTCTGTTATTACAATGTGTTAGCTCTAGATAGCCGCTCTCCTTGGGGTGCGTCTCTCTTGGATAGCATCGTGGGTCTAAGCCTTCTGTACTTTATCTACGGGTTGAGTCTAATGATAAATAAAAATCTTTGACACCCCACAGTGGCTAGCCCAGCTATATGAGAGTCTGAAGCAGGGGATTGCAACTTTGAGGCCAGCCTACAGTCTAGTGACTTAATGAGAGCTCATCTCAAAATAAAAAATAAAAACAGCTGGAAATGTAGCTGGAAATGATAGAGCACCCCTGGGTTCAATCTCCCCCATGAAAACATCCATGACAATCTGTTTGAAGGAAAATAGAGCATCGCCTGAGCAGGATGGGGATGTGTTCATGCTCCCTGTCCTTAGGGGGCCTCAGTGGAAGTCTGAGAGGAACAGAGCCTATCGGGCCCCACTCAGAGATAAAAGCAGAACAAGTCAATACCCCAGAGAGGCAGCACGGGCCAGGTGGAGGGCGGTCCAGTTACAGTGTAACCGGACTATCAGCTACCGCGTGTAAACGGTTCCTTATCAGATCCTGCCCACCGAGGGGGTGGGGAGGGCATGAAGAAGCAGAGCCCCGAGCGCTGGAGTTGGAAGGGGGGGCCGAGAGGGACCTCAGCACAGAAAGAGGAAGCAGGAGGCTGAGGAACTGCACATCTCACAGGCGCGCCTGACCCCGTGCCAGGTTAACATTTGGCTGACGAAGGACAAACAGAATGGGCACCCTGGGGTGCAGACCCTGCCCTGTGAGCCTGGCTCCTCTGGATATAACGAAGATTAGATTTGGGGACATGTTGTTTGATGGCTAAAAAGAAGTCTGGCACGATGTGAAGCAGATTCTTTTCCAAAGAACGCAGGAGCCGGGCGTGGTGGCACAAGCCTGTAGCCCCAGCTACTCGGGAGGCTGAGGCCAGAGGGTCGCTGGAGTCCAGGAGTTCTGGCCTGCAGTGCACTATGTCCGCACTAAGTTCGGCATCAATATGGTGACCTCCTGAGAGCGGGGACCACCAGATTGCCTAAGGAGGGGTGAACTGGCCAGGTTGGAGACGGAGCAGGCCAAAGAACGCAGGAGTCGTTTATGCAGCGGGAGAGAGACCTTCACAAGAGTACACACTGCACGACTTCATTCACAGGAGTGGAGTTAAAGAACGAGCAAAACTAACTCTGAGGTAGAAAAAGATCTGCAGGGAGCTAGGTCCGCCTCCCAGTGGCACAGGTGTGGGAATGTGCCAGGGCGCACACCACGACCACAGCTGACGCATGTTGTGCACCCACCACAGGCAAAACCTGTCTCAGAAGAAGTAAAATAGCTGCGAGAAACGTGAACTCCTGTTAATGATACAGCATGGGAGAGTTGGCCCCCACGGGCACTGCTGGCTGCACCTTGGTCCAAAACACTGCCCTGAATTGGAGGACTCGTGGAGAGACAGAGGGGCGGACGGTGGGACAGACTCGTGATGTCATGATGCACGTGACAGGACATTAGTAGCAGCCTGCTGGTTGTGAACCCACAGGGTTCACTGTAGAGGTCTTCGCATTCTTCTGTATGTCTGGGATTTTTCAAAACAAAAGGTGGAAATGAGAAAAATTAAAGAAGTGTCAGAGTATCACCCCTCCCCAGGGTCCTCCCCAGCCCTCACGGGGAGAAGCCCACGAGGGTCTCTGCCCGTCCTCACTGGCTTCCCCTCTTGCTCTAACCCCAAGCCCACTTGCTCACAGCTGTGGCTGAGACAGAGGGAAATCTGCAAGTCCCAGGCCCCTCATGCCACTCCAGGGACCCAAGAGTCCTGCCTCCTGGGTAGCTTTTGTGGGCAGGCAAGGGGCCCCTCCCCACTGCACCCAGGGCCCAGAACTCGGAGCTTTGCTTCCAGTAAAGGGTCCACCTCCTGTGGGTGCTTGCTTATGTCCTTCAGGCCTTGCTTCTGCCTGGGCTCCCAGGCTTTCACCAGCACCAGTTTCCCACCTGATTGGTCCAGTTTCAGGTCCTCCAGCCCGGCCCCCATCCCCACCACCAGAAGAACGCGCATTGCTGTCATATTTATGAAAACTATCCTACGTCTTTCGGGAGACTCCACAGTGTCCAGTCTCTGATCTGATACCTTGAGAAGTTCCTCTTTGTGTCTACCCTACATCCTGCATGGTGCTTTTCTGCAGAACCCAGTGGGGCACAGGGCCTGAAGTCTGCAGTTCTCAACAAATGGATATGCTCGTATCAATGCACAGGGCTGTATCTGTGTACTTCTGGGGCAGCTGATTCAGGCATGGGGGTCACACCAGCCTTTCCTCCCCACTGGCCTTTTACCTGCACTCCACCCAGGCAGCTCATGTGGCTCAGCCTTTGGAGGTGAAAGAGCAGGGCCTCGGTCCGAGCCTGGGCCCCACCCAGAGGCCAGCCCAGTGGGGCTCACCCAGTGAGCCATCCAGGAGCAGCAGGCCTGGAACCTCTTTCTCCCCAGATCCCAGCTCCTCCGGGATGGGAGGGGGGCTGAGCCCTCAGAGCACCTACCTTGCGGTCTTGGAGTGAAGACGGGGGTTGGTGTGGGGACCAAGTATGGGAGGAGAAGACCTGGCCCCAAGTGTGTTAGAGATGAAACGCCCAGCTGGGCATGGTGGCATCACCTGGAATCCCAGCTACTTAGGAGGCTGAGGCAGGAGATTTGCAAGTGGAGGCCAGCCTGGGCAATATAGAGAGGTGCTGTCTCAAAATAGGACACAGAAAGGGTTGGAGATGTGGTTCAGTGGTAGAGAGCCCATGGGCTTCACACACACACACACACACACACACACACCTTCCTGCTATGAAGAGAACTTTCGACAGAGTGGATTATGTAATATAGGAGATTTTCCCTCAGTGAGAGAGGAAGTCCAGGCTGGCAGTGCCCTTGGCTTCATGAAGTCATTCATGGCCCCAGCTCCTTCCATGTGTTGTTTTCCCATTTGGCATCCCGTTGCCATCGTACATGGCAGAAGCTGGGTCACCAGCATGTCTAGGTTGTGGCCAGGAGTAAGGGGAAAGAGAAGGTGCACCCCCAGCGAGAGCCCAGACCTGCAAGCAGCGCGCCTCATTCTCCACCCCATGGATGACAGCCAGGGCGGCTGGGGAGAGGAGCCCAGCCTGGCCAGCACAGGTCCAGCTTTGCTGTCTCCAATGGTGGCTACCGGCCATCTACAGCACAGTACCCTCAGGGCTGGGATGATCAGTGACACAGATATGGAGGCCTCCACCCACTCTCACCGGACCCTGAGATGGATGGTCGAGGATCAGAGCTCCAGGACACAGCGGGATGGGAGAGCAGAATTCTCAGGTGGCCAGCAAAACCTACCAGGAGAAGGCTGCCCATGCAAACGCACCCTGAGTCACAGCGAGGGGCATGAGGTGGGGGAGTCACGGGGCAGTGACCTCACCGCTGGAGGCTGCTGCAGCTGAAGCACCTCCGTGGATGGCTCAGCCCTTCAGAGGACAGCTGAACTATGGTGTGCAGTTGGTCCTTCCAATTGCTCTGGGCAGGACCATGTAATACGCTTAGGGTGCTTTGGTCCATGAAGGGTACAGAAGAAGCAGCCGCAAGACTCCCTCGCCCCAGGAGGGTGGGCTCCTATCAACCACAGGAGCCCCACACCCTGAGGGTACGTGGCCCTGAGGGTGCTGGCAGAGGGTGGGTACCACAGAGCAAGCAGGCAGGCTTCACCCAGACGTGCCTCGAGCTGAAGGGCTTGGAAAACTGGAAGGGGACGAACATTCCAAACTGGGCGGGGGCCAGGCAGAGACAGGACAGCGCTGGTGGGCGGGGCGGAAGAAGCGTCCCATTTTGAGCCACTTGCTTTTCCCACACCGCCTGCCTACTCTTCCCGACGCCTCTGAGGTAGATGCCGTTATCACCCGTGCTTTGCAGAAGAGCAAATACAGAGCTCAGAGTGCCTCAGGGTCTCACCCATGATTACCTCGCTTTTTTCTGGGGGAGACACGGCCAGACTCAGGGCATTCCAGTTGCAGGGTCTGCCCAAGGCCTCCTTACCAGGGCCAGAGCTGCTGTCAGAACTTCCGGGAGGACTCGCTCTCGCCCTTGGCCCTCAGCCCCAGATGGACGTGAGTCCTTGCTGCTTCTGAGTGCCACAAAGCCCAGGCCCTGCCCACAAGCTTGGCATCCTGCCTACTCCCCAAAGATGTCTGCAGCAGGAATCACAGCCAGAGAGTGTACCGGCGGGATGAGACAAGCTAAATGCTCTAGAGGCTCCCGAGGAACAATGCGGCTCTGTGAGCAGTCCAGGCAGGGATCAGCCCTGGAGGGCTGACAGAAACTAGCCCCAGCCGACTGAGGCCTCTGGGAGGACTCCAGAGCCTGCTCCTGCTGCAGCCTGTTTCCTGAACTCTGCGAGAGTGCATGTTTTTTTTTTTCTTTGTGGTACTGAGGGTTGAACCTAGAGCCTTCACACTGAGCTACATCTCCAGCCTTTTTTTATTTTTTATTTTGCAATAGGATCTCAATGAGTTGGCCAGGGTGGCCTCAAACTTGGAATTCTCCTGCCTCAGCCTCCCAGAGTGCTGTGGTTATTGGCCTATGCCACCATACCTGGTTTGGAGATACTTATTGAGCCTTGGTAACCCTAGCATGATTCAACCACCCTTCATCCCACCTGTTTCGGGAATGCCTCCTGTGCCAGGGGACCCAAAGAATTTTCCTCTTGCACCCTAGCGTGGAACCACCTTCTCGAGGCAACATGTGCATTTCGCAGCCCCTCCCCTCCCAGAGCCTGAGCAGGCTGAGGAGCCCTGAGTGGGTCCCAGGTGAAAGCCCTGGCCTGGCCCCCACCCCCTGCCCAGAATGCACCTGCACACTCTAGGCTGAACATGTGTCCTTGACCGCGCTGCTACCTCCACCCGGAAGGAGGCAGCTGAATCAGGGTGCCGAGTGTCCTGACCTCCGAAGGTCCTAACAGCAGCGTGAGGTTTTCTTTGCCGGAGAGAGCTGACACTGTCTGAACTTGTGCCCTAAGTGCAGCCCTGAGGGAAATCTCAGGATAGATACAATCCCCTCCGCCTTCTCTTCTCTCCAGTGTGAACTAGGCGCAGCCCCCACTTCCGACTGTTCACCTTTGCCTAGAGTGGGTCCAGGCATAAAGAGTCAGCTGTGAGCTAGGCGTAGTGGAGCACACCTGTCACCCCGGCACTCTAAGAGGCTGAGGCAGGAGGATTGCAGCCTCGAGCCCAGCCTGGGCAACTTAGTGGCTTAGCAGGACCTTGACTCAAAGTAAGAAATAAAAAGGGTGGGGATGTAGGTCACTGCAAAGACCCTGGGTTCAATCCTCCCTTTTGAAGAAAGTCTCGTTTGTTCCAGGCAGGAAAGCTTCCAGGGATCTAGAGGACGAGGGAGGGCATACCGGCCCACCAGGTGGCCAGCTGCACCCAGGATTGGGCAAAAGACCACGGGTGATCAGGGAACGAGTAGAGGAGCAGAAGGAGCCAGAGGAAAGGTCTACAATGTACCCAAGGCTCCTCCCGTTTAGAAAAGCACCCTTGTTCTTGCTCGGTACCCATACCTGGCACGCACGCACAAGCATGCGCAAGCAAACACACACACGTGCACCCACACACTCTGCTACCCTCTTCACTTGGCACCTCTGCCAAGGAGGAAAGGCAGGGAGGCCCGGGGCACAGGTGGAGCGTGGAGAAGGCTACCCCAGCCCACCCTGCCAGTCTGCTGTGTCTCTGAAGGCGTGCGAGCTCAGGAGCCTAAAACTCCTGCTCCCTGGGACAAGGGACCAAGGACAAGAGCCATTCCTCACAGGGAGGAAGGGGTGTCCCCGAGCAGGGTGTGGCTGGAGAGCTGAGTGCAGAGGGGTGCGAAGGCAAGGAATCCACCTTCCAACAGCACCTCCTTCTGCCACTTGTCTCCTTGCACAGATGAACACACTGAAGCTCCAGGGGCCTGATTTGTTGCCTGAGGTCACGTAGCTAGCAAAACCCAGAGTTGGGGTGTGAGCCTGCAGTTTCCAGGGCCCCCTGTCTCTTGAGGCCTCTCAGGCACCTGCGATGCCATCGCTAATCAGGAACCCTAAATGCCTCACCCTCAGCTGGCGTGGGGTTCAACAGCACAGCTGTCAGTCTGGGGAGAACAGAGGTGACACTGGGAGGATAGGAAGGGAAAGCTGGTGGGGCATCATTCTCCTTTGTCCTGAAGTCACAAGACACTACAGTCCACCTAATTCTCACCGTCCAAGCCAGACCCGGAGGCAGACGAGGCTTGGGAGGCAAGCTGACCAATTCTCTGCTTCTCCAGCTCGCTCAGTTCTCCCTGAATTGGGGGTTTAAGCCCCCTATGCCCCACCCTTTGAAGCAGCTAATGTGGGCTTGACCTGAGGCCCCCAGGAGGCCTGTCAGTCAGCACTAACAGCCTGCGACTTCCCTCCCCACCTCCAGCCCGCTGTCATGGTCCCCAGAGTGCAGACTGCCCAGACCATCCTCAACCAGACCACCAGTTTCTGGATCTGAGCAGAATTCTCTCCTCTTTCTAGAACCTGCAGGGCCAGCCCACGTGGGGCCGCCTCCCCCAGCCCCTGGCAGAGCCAGCCAGTCGGGCTCCTTCCAGTCCCACAAGGGACAGCATCGAGAAGGCGGAGCAGTTGGTGCCCAGCACTGGGAGTGCAGTCTGTCCCACGTGGCCTCTGCCACTGGTGGAGGGGAAGCTCCAGGGCCAGGGTGCAAGAAAAGGGTAGGTCTTCCTTCCAGACTGGTCATTGTGTGCTCCCAGAAGCTTGCCTGCCCGTGCCTGCTGTGCCGGTCGTGACCTCCCCCGGGCTGTTCTCCCAGCTCCTGTACCCTCTGTGCCTAGCACAGAGCCGGGTGCGTAACAGGAGGCTGAGTCCCCTGTGTGGGAACACTGAAACCTGGAGGCTTCGCCCTGCTCACCTTGTCCCTGTCTCCTGGCTGGCTGCACCTGGCCCCGCTGGGGTGCCGAGCCCCTAGGCTTCCCTGGGGAGAGGGGTGAGGATCTGCCCTTATGAAGCTAGCAGCCTCAGGCCAGGTCAGCTCCGGTCCCTGCAGGGCAGGGTTGAAGACTTTTCTGTCTTCAGCCTGGAGGTGTTTGTTTAAGTCGCTAGGCCGCTCTGCCCAAAACACGATCCTGCCCACACCCTTGGCATGTGCCCCACGTAGCACTCCTGCAAGGAGCCAGCAGGCACGGATAAGGCCAGAGGCCAGGGATGGGCAGTGGGGCAGAATTAGTCTCCAGCCTCAGTTTGCTCATCTGAAAAGAAGTTGTTCTTTAGCCAGACCAGCTCGAAGGGAGGTGTGACAGGAGGGACTATGAATACTGTGACTTTATCTGCATAACTTATAAAGGGCCCAAAAGCTGTTCTGCAGGTGTGCACACACACACACATGTGCACATGTGTACATGGGGCGTGGTGTGATGTGTTAGAGAACAGGGATGGGGGAGGATGACCAAGCCCGAGGTCGGAAGGGAATCCAGGGATTGCTTTTCAGTAGAGAACCTGGAATGGATTCAGAGGGCAGAGAGGCCTTGGGAGCAAGCTGGAAAGTCCTCGAACAGCACCTCCATCCTACTCCCTCGTGGGTTACTAGTGCAGGTGCCTGGGCGTTGGGTGTGGCAGGCCGCCTGTGTCCCCTCCTGCAGCAAGTCCTCCCTCTCCTCGAGGCCGAGCTCAATGCCGCTCCTCTGCTCCCCAAAGCATGCT